CTATGAGTAAACAGCAAAGTAATTACCTTGGCTAGAATGTCGAGTTTCTATGAAGGAAAAGGAAATGAAAATTTTAAAATTTGAAAAAAAAAAAAAAACATTTTAATGATGCCTTCAAAGCCTTACTATAATAGAAAGTTGAGGGATAAAAATGAAAAGAATACTTGTACAAGTTATTTATAACAGATTAGGACAAAGGTAGAGAATAAGAGTAAAGGAAATCACTTAGGAAGCTCAGTTTTCAAAAAACTCAGATCAGGGTGGCAGTAACAGGAGTGTAGGCAGTATAAGATGATGACTTGGAAAGAAATACACAGAACAATTAAAAGTTAGAAATCAAAAACAAAAATCAGTTCGATTTAAATGTTGAAGATCAAGGACAGAATAACTTTGAGGAAGCTGTGGCTAGGAAAACACAGAAATTAGAAAGGTATGGGATTAATGAACTCAACTTTCCAAATGTAAACAGCCAAGGTCAGCGTGACACCTATGTCCTTTGAGCAAGTGGAAAATACACAATTAAGACAAATCAATGAGGGGCCAGGCGCGGTGGCTCATGCCTGTAATCCCAGCACTTTGGGAGGCCAAGGCAGGTGGATCACCTGAGGTCAGGAGTTCAACACCAGCCTGGCCAACATGGTGAAATCCCATCTCTACTAAAAACACAAAAATTAGCCAGGCATGGTGGCATGTGCCTGTAATCCCTGATACTCAGGAGGCTGAGGCAGCAGAATTGCTTGAACCCAGGAGGCAGAGGCTGCAGTGAGCCGAGATCACGCCACTGCACCCCAGCCTGGGTGACAGAGCAAGACTACAACTCAAAAAAAAAAGAAAAATCAATGAGAAAGTAGAAACTGAGACTGTAGACTTGTATATTATACATATATAGGTAGAATCTTAATACATGTAAACATTAGCACCCAGGAGAAATAGGTAAAATATTTTAAGTATGTACAGTAACAGTTATGTATATACACATACATACACTTGAGAGACATTAACAGTGACTCCAACTTCCAAAATATTACATATCTTAAAAACTGTATATCAACAATAACTGACTATATGCCAAAGACACACACACTCCTCTGTATGCAAGTGCACAGGCTAAAAAAGGCAGGGCTAAGTTCTTGGTAGCGACTACACAGATATTTTTGGATTTCAAAAATGATGCTAAATCATGGGGCTGCTAATCAACTACTGAAATATAAGCTAATACATATTTGTTAAAAAATTACTTCTCTGGTCAGGTGGTGGCTCACACCTGTAATCCCAGCACTTTGGGAGGCCAAGGTGGGCAGATCACAAGGTCAAGAGATCGAGACCATCCTGGCCAACATGGTGAAACCCCGTCTCTACTAAAAATACAAAAGTTAGCTGGGCGTGGTGGCATGCACCTGTACTCCCAGATACTCAGGAGGCTGAGGCAAGAGAATCGCTTGAACCCGGGAGGCAGAGGTTGCAGAGAGCCAAGACTGCGCCACTGCACTCCAGCCTGATGACAGAGTGAGACTCTGTCAAAAAAAAAAAAACAATGCAAATAAAACTAAGGCTATACTTATCATAAAAGTTAGGATAATGTACTCTTAAAGAAACAGAGTGGCAAGTGGAGGAGGAAGGAAGAGATTGTGTTCGAAAGGGAATCCATGGAGGGATTCTGGGATAGTGGCTGTCAAAGTGATGTCTCCTATCATAGGTGATAGTTAACAAGCTGGTATTACCTTATAATAGTTCATTAAGTTATACATTTATTTTTGTATACTTATTAGAATAAAAATTCAAATAAATTTTTAAAATTATTTTGAAAATAGGATTTGGATCTTTAGATCTAGGATCTGAAAATGAGACTCATTAGTATGTGTCCTGGGGCTTGTGGTCCTGTACACATGAAGCGATCTTAGGGCAGGTAACAAGCAAATTAAAAGCCCAAAAGGACCCTTCTGGAGTCCAGGAACTCTGGGAGCTTACCCTCCTAAGCACCATTACAGAGCAGCAGTACAGTCTAGCTGTGAAGGGCACAAATTCTGGAGCCAAACCACCTAGATTCAAATTCTGACTCCACTATGCAAACTTGAGCAAGTTACTTAAACTTTCTGTGCCTTTGTTTTCTAATGTGTAAAATGGGCTATCTCATGGGGCTGTTGTAAGGACTGAATTACTTAATACAAATAACTACTTAAAGGCAGAGAAAAATTAAGTACTTCATTTACATGTTTGCTAGTTTTATTGTTATTTCTACACCAAAGAGACCTAGATCTTCGGAATTAAATACGATCATGTGAAGTAATCCCATACACTACTATAGAGGAAGCAGAGGGTCAAATAGCTTTCCTAACACATTCTAAGCTTATTTATCTGAAAAGTCAAAAATTCCAGGAAACATTACTCCCTCATATTACAATACAGCCAGCAATTCCCAAAGGTATGTTACCCTCCAAGCAGCTTTGGTCTTCCTTTCTAATTATGGCTCCCATTTCCTCTCTGACTCCCCACTCTTTTAACAGCTGATAAGAGAGAAATCATGGTCTGGTTAAGAAAGAAACATAAGAACACTGAGGTGAGCATGTTACACTTTAACCAGGCCAGAATCAGCACTAATTGTGCAAAAAGAATCCTAACAAGAAAACTAAAACTCCTCAAAGAAATTCTGAAAATTTAGAGGAAAGGAGCATATCTGTGTCCCTTAAATACTAAGAGTTAGTTTACCTGTTCATCTGAAGCTAGATTAGTGAAGAGTGGAACAATTTCACTTTTCACACTGTCTAATTCCAAAACTTTTGCAAATTCACCCAATTTGGAAGCAGCAGCACGTCGCACCATTGGTGTGTCATCTGAGCACAAGGAACGGAATTGCCTGCAACATAAAACAATGAAGGTATTTCCCATCAAATAACACTGACTAAACCTGCCCCCATACACAGGGACAGACTATTAGAGGTTTTATCTTACAATAATCAGTGACTAGGCTTCTAGTCATAGAAGTAACAAAAATAAAACATATTCAACTGAATAATAAAAAATGACATCACAGGCCAGACATGTTCCCTCACACCTGTAATCAAAGCACTCTGGGAGGCCCAGGTAGGAGGATTGCTTGAGGCCAGGAATTGAAAGCAGACTGGGCAACATAGCAAGAACCTATCTATACCCAAAAAATATTTTTTTTTTGTTGTGGGGAGCTCAACTGAACCTCCCACCTCAGCCTTCTGAGTAGCAGGAATACAGGCGGGTCCCACCATGCCCAGCTAATTTCTTTTTTCTTTTTAGTCGAGACAAGGTCTCACTATGTTGCTCAAGCTAGTCTTGAACTCCTGAGCTCAGGCAGTCCTCCCACCTCAACCTCTCAAAGTGCTGGGATTACAAGCATCAGCCACTGCACCCAGCCAGAAAAAATTTTTAAAAATTAGCCAGACGCAGTGGTGTATGTCGGCAGTCCTAGCTACCTGGAGGCTGAGGCTGGAGGATCACTTAAGCACAAGAGTTCAAGGTTGCAGTGAGCTATGATTGTGCCACCGCACTCCAGCCTGCGCAACAGAGCAAGACCTTCTCTCTTAAAAAAAAAAAAAAAAAAAAAAGATGTCATAAAACCTACTATCCTAGTATCAGCCACTCATTGGTTACAATGTACTATGTAAACTGTCAGCTACAAGTCCCCAGTAATCCCAAATAACTAATAGCTTACTGTCTGATTTCTGCTTTAACAAAGCAAAAAAACACCAGAGCTTACTGTCTGATTTCTGCTTTAACAGCATTTGATGCCCTGGGATAGCAAACGCTGAACAAACCACATGCAGACGTGCGAGAGGTGAACCAATCCCCACTTGCTAGGCGTTTCACCAGAGGTACAAAATAAGCTTCCAGAGCAACAGGAGTATGCTCCTGGGAGATCTGTCTCAGGGACTCCACAGCCTTGTCACGAACAACAGTCTCTTCCACAGTTGCCAGATTTTCCAAAGGAGGCTGAATGGATTAAAAAGGAAAACCAGAGAAGAAAACTTATTGAATCAGATTAGAAACAGATAATCACCTTTTAAAGTGACTGAAGGGAGGTGGTACACGTAACCAGAATGTTAGCTGCATCATACCAAATGGTTACTTTCAGCTCACACAGTGATAACATATGGTGCGGCCAACCTGAAGACACGACTTCTGTAGAAAAGCCAAGATCTCGTGTCCCAGATGGCAATTCCCAGATGGTGTCTACAAATGACACAGTGTAAGAGACTTGACACAATATTAATATTACTGTGAGCTGAATCACTAGGTTTAAAAGATACACAGCCAAATTCAGGCAGGATCCTGTACATTTCCTCAAGAGTAAGTACAAAAATATGACCAACATTAGGCACCACAAATACAGGATAACAGCTTGTCAGGTCACTGAGTCCACTGCCTTTTCAGTATCATTCTACCACTCCCAGAGGTGCAGGCAACGCTTATCCACCATCTCCATTCCATCCTTTTATCCAACCTACAAAATGCTGAGTACAAAATTGCTTTTTTCAGAACACATTCAGCAACTTTCCATTCATAGGGCAGGAAGGAGTTTCTGACAGAACAATCAAGTGAAAACTACAGAGACTGGCCAGGCAAGGTGGCTCACGCTTGTAATCCCAGGCTTCAGGAGGCCGAGGTGGGCAGATCACTGAGGTCAGGAGTTCGAGACCAGCCTGGCCAACATGGTGGAACCCTGTCTCTACCAAAAAATACAAAAATTACCCAGACATGGTGGTACATGCCTGTAATCCCAGCTACTCAGGAGGCTGAGGCATGAGAATCGCTTGAACCCGGGAGGCGGAGGTTGCAGTGAGCTGAGATTGTGCCACTGCACTTGAGCCTGGGTGACAGAGTGAGACTCTGGTCTCAAAAAAAAAAAAGAAAAGAAAAGAAAAGTACAGAGATGGGAGGACACCTTGCTTACAGCTTTAGAAATAGAAGAGGCCAAACAGGGTGGATGATCCGGATTAGGAGCAGTAACTGAATATGGCATGGCCTAGTAAAAAGTGTAAACAGGCTGGCTCTCTGAACCTCTGCCTTACTGAGTTTGCATGTAGTCCAGGTAGACTCTACACATGCCATGAGCTACAGATTTTTAAAGCATAAAACCCACATATAGAACTAACCAAGAATGAAACAGAAGCATAATGAGTTAAAGAAAAGAAGTGTGTCTCATAATATATTTTAAAAATTGTTTGATACACACAGGTACACAGTATTCAGCTTTCCTAGAAGGTATTTCAGAAACCCATTAAAAAGATACTGTTTCTCACTTGCCAAGGCATTTCATGATCTGTCCCCTGCCTACTGTAACCCCCTCTCCTGCAGTAACACTGGATAATAGCTATCATTACTACAGGATGAGGCCATGCTCCTGAGAATTGCTTATGAGTGGTCTCTTGATTTGAACTCTGCCTGGCCCTTGATGACCACTCTGCCTACCCAACCTCAACACTTCACATTCCAGCAGGTCTTTTTTTTTTTTTTTTTAAGAGACAGGGTCTTGCTCTGTTGCCCAGGCTAAGTGCAGTGGCACAATCATGGTTCAGTGTGGCCTCAGACTCTTTGTCCTTCTGCCTCAGCCTCCCGAGTAGCTAGGACTACAGACACATGCCACCATGCCCAGCTATTTTTTTTTTTAAGAGTTGGGGTCTCACTACGTTGCCCAGGCTGGTCTTGAACTCCTGGCCTCAAGCGATCCTCCTGCTGCTTTGGCCTCCCAAGGCAAGGATTACAGGTGTGAGCCACCACACCCAGCCACACTCCAGCAGTTTTGAACCCAGTCTGTTTCATGCTTCCAAGCCTCTGAAATTCATTTTCTCAATACATGATTATTGTTGTATCTAACATTGCGGACACAGAAGAAACAAAGCAGACAAGCTTCCTCACTCTAGTGGCATTTACATTCTAATAGAGTAAGACAACAATCAATCAAGAAAACAAGTAAACGGTGATGAATACTCTACAGAAAAAAGGAGTAGGATGATGTGGTAAGGGATGACTGCGAGGCTATTTCAAGTTGAGTGGTGGGGGAAAACCTCCCTGAGGAGATGCATTGAAGTAGATCCGTGAATGACAAGGAGCCAGGCACAGAAAGCTTGAAAGAGCTTTTCATTAGAGGGAAGACCTAGGGCAAAGGTCTTAAGGGAATAATAAGCTAGGTTAGTTCAAAGAACAGAAAGATGACCAATGTGAATGTAAGAGATTATCAAGGCCTTTTGCGCTCTGTCCCTGCCTACTGTGACCTCTTCTCATGCAGTACCACTGGGCATATGATAATCCTACAGAGGCAGGTCATAAAAAGCCTTATAAGCTAAGGTACAGAATTTGGATTTTCTAAGAGCTATGGCAGAGAGTGAGCCATCTGCTGGGTGACGTGAACTGTAAGGGTCGGGTGAGAGACAAGAGTGGAAAGCATTGTTAGGAAGCTACTACAGCAATCTAGAGGAAAGATGATGGTCTGGACTAGGCTGGTAATAAGAGGGATGGAAGAAAGTGGACTGATTTGAAATATACATAGACTCTATAGGAATTACTAATGGATTAGATGTGGGGAACAAGGGAAAGAGAATTCAAGAATATATTCTAGGTTTTGGCTTGTCCAACTGGGAAGACAGTGATACCATTTACTTAAGTGGAACAACTAAATAAGAAGTGTATTTGGGGGATAAAGCTAAGTTTTGTTTTGTGTATGTTAAGTTTGAAATACCTGTTTGACATTCAAGTAGAAAAAAGCATAGGCCTGTATACACAGAAATATATGTATCTATATCTATATATTCATACTTATCTATCTACCTCAATCTACCTCAGGAGTTCCATGGAAAAACCAGAACTAGAGATAGAAATCACCAGAATCAGTATTACTACCCAGTATTGAAAGCCCTGACGCATACATCCCTACCTTGTCCATCTGTTGAATTCCTGGTCATCCTTTAAAACCTAGTTTAGACATCATCTCCCAACGTCTTCCCTGATCACCCTGAGTGAATCCCTTTCTCCCCTCTATTACGTGGGTAGGGTATTTTGTAGGTACTTACATCTTTCCATTTAAGACTGCACAGTAATTATTTGCTGACACATAAAGGCAAGGGACCTCATTCAATTCACTTTGGTGGTCATTTTCTTTTTTTTTTAAGCGATGGGGATCTCACTATGTTGCCCAGGCTGAATTCAAACTCCTGGGTTCAAGTGATCCTCCCATCTCAGCCTCCTGAGTAGCTAGTACTACAGGCTTGTGCCACCAAGCCCCCTCACATTGGTCTTCTTCAACATTAACATTGTAAATTACGATATGTCTGATAAAGTAGACTCTTAATAAATGTCAATTAAATTGAACCAAATTCATCAAACTCAGAAAGTCAGAAGCAAAAGTTACAATTGACAAAGACAAAATGCTGCCAGGTGAGAATTAAGGTTTCCAACATCATGCGGGGGAACCATTAAAACAATCAAATCCTTTTTCTACCTCCATCTAAACTAGTAAATCTACAGATGCAGAAAAGAAGGACGAAGTTCTCTTATTCACAGAAAAAGAAGAAGGGGTTGAGTCCAAAGTGCCTATAGTATTTCTTCTCTCAATGACTCACATGACTATCTGCCCATAAAAAGATCTGCATAAAAAATGCTGCAGTGTGTCTATCACCCAACTGTGTATCATTTATACTGCAAAAGTTCTAGGAGGGTAGGCAGCTTATAAATACTCACCAGCAGACAGTGGGCAAAGTCAGGACCTCCCACTAGGCCAGTGAAATTTCCCAGCTGCTCAGCAAGAGCTAATAGTACCTCATCTTCATCATAAATTGTATCTGGAAGGGACAACAACAGGGACTCATCAACATGGATAGCTCTCACATAGCTGGACACTGACACAAAACTAGGAACAGATTCACTATGCGACCGGTAAGGTGGCCCAGTCAAAATCCTAACAGCATTTTCTTCCTTCTCCTCAATCAACCATCTTCCTGGATCTGTTTTGCACAACGAATTAGAAATTCATACTCCCATATCAATTACTTTCCCAACAGCTAAATGGTTGATGTTTGAATATATCTAACCACAACTAATAATATCCTCTGTTCTGTTTCTTTTGCACAGAAAGCACCTGGCTCATTTTAACGTGGGTAACAAACTCTAAAAAAGTCAGTGTCGAAAGTCCCTGGAAAATGGAATGTCCCTGCCTTTCTTTAAACAAAGATTCACATACCTGTAAGGAATGGCAACAATTCACTTCGCGTCCTTTCTACTCCAAGTGCTAGGGCAATTGTTGACAACTTCTTAATACTGTTGAGTCGGAGCTTCAGAAAAGAAAGTAGAAAGAAGAACAATGTAAAGAAACGGTTGAATTTAGATCAAAAGACAAAAGGTGCTAATAGGTGAAATAATGACACAGGGGTAAGAACGAAGATAACCTTTTACTTAGATTTTACTGTTAAGGAACCTCCATAGGACGGAGGAGTGTAACTCGGCCTCACTAGCCGGCGGAAGATTTCCTAGGAGAAACACTCAGAAGGGCCCGGAAGAGAAATGAATGAAAGACAATACAACACCCAGGAAGTAAGATAATCTTAAAAAGAGAGGACTTTGGCAGTGGTGAAGCAGGTGAAACGGTTGAATACAACGCCTGTGGTTTCAAAGAAAAGTTCCCGCAGAGCTGATACAACGACTCGTCCAGGTTAATCGGCCATCCCACCCCCTCTTTCTACCCAACAAGACGAGCCAGTTCCAAGCCCAGATGAAGGGATTCCGAGGCACTTCAAAGGGCTTCTGGGCATCCTGCGCCCCTCAGCCGCTCCAGCCCCGTCTCGGCCCGGCACCGCGCTTCTCCAGCTCCCTCGCCTACGAGGCGCGGCCACCTCACGGCCCGGATAGGGCGCCCAGGCGGGAAGCAGGTTCCCCGACAACCGCCCTGGAAAGGCAAGGCTCCGGGCGGACCCCTTAGGGGGTCCGAAGCAGGGGTACTAGAGAGGTCCCCGGGAGGGTCGAGGCGTGTCACCACAGCCCCTCGCAGAGCTTTCCCTGCCTCCCCTTCAAGTTTCTGCTACGAGTCCAGTTCATTCAGTACCCCGGCCACCCCCACCGCGGCGCAGGCCTT